TCTCAACCATCCTCCAAATACAAGTTTACAGTAATCATTCTATAGGTGTCCTTTGAAAGGTCTGTATCCAGTCCCCTTGGAGTCAACAGGAGTTGGGTTATAGACTTCAACAGGACCAGAGTTCAGCCCTTACTCTTCTGGCATCTTGCCACAGCATGTTCCAGCACACAACCGTGAGTCCAGTGACATGGTTCTAGCCCCAACACTGCATTGACGTGCTGGGGGGCCTTGGCATGTCACCTCACTGTGATGCCTATTTTAGATAGTAGAGGGTCATGCTTTTAGACTCGAAGGTTCGATTCTCCATTACTGAGAGCACACGTACAGAGGCCAGTTCCATTTCCTGTGTGGAAATCGAATGAGAAAACTTAGTGATTCATTTTGGCCCTAAAACAGGGGCAGGCAAAATACAGCCTGCAAGCGAGATCTGGCCCACCAGGTACTTTCATATGGCCCGCAGCACCTGCCAACTAATTGTACCCCGCCCAGCCCTTCCACCCATGAGGGTGGGAGTGAGGCACCCGTGTATACACCCCCTCCCCAGCATACCCTATTGTGCCTCGCTCCCATCCTCATGGGCAGAAGGGCCCACCCCAGCCAGCACACAGCTTCCAGGTGAGGCTGCTGCTGCCGCTGCTGCAGTCATCAGGGGACCTGCTCAGCATTCCTGGTGTTGTGCTCACTCCAGAGAGCAAGTAGGGAGGTGGCAGGGATGGGGACAGAGCTGCAGCTGCACAGGAGCATGGAGCATGCGGCTGGGGCTGACAGCAGTGCGGAGCCTGTGCCCAGGGGAGCAGCAGCACGGAGCTCAGGTGGGCAGGGTGTGGGCATAGGGAGGGTGAGGGGGTGTGGGGACCCCCCCACACACACACACTTTCCCCACATTGCACACAGACCCACAGGAAGGAGCAGCAACAGCAGGCAGGGGTGCTCAGGGTGCCTATGTCCAGTGCAGGAGCTGGTGCCCAGCGGTGTATGGCTCTGACCAGTGCTGAACATTGCGGCAAGAATCACCTTTATCGCTGCCACTCCCCACCATGCACACACCATGCACACGCATGATTCCAGCAGTAGAGGGGAGCCCCAGCTTCCCTGTGGAGTCCCAGGACCTGTGCAGCAGGGGGGCAGGGAAGGTAGCCGGCTTCAGCATGTGGAGCTCAAATCTAGTGGCACGTGAGTATGGGGACTGCACATGCTGATGATAGAGGTGAGCCTCACTACAATGTGCATTGCTGGCTGTAGCCATGCACCACCGGGCACCAATGCCTACACCGGGCATGAGCGCCCCTGTCTGTTGCTGCTACTGCATCATGGGGGGAGTGAGGGGGAGTCCTCACATCCCACAAATGTCACACACCCACTCCCTGCCCCCACAACCTCTGTATACAACCAAAACCCCACACCCCAGCATACACACCCCCCCACACCCCACCATACACACACATATACCCCCAACCACACCCCCACACTATATACAAGACTAAGAATTTATATTTGAGTCACTATACAATCACCTTTATATACAGAACACAAACACAAATCATGGCAGCACTGGAAAAAAAATAAATTGTACAATAAAAGTCAAACACCTAGTATTTTAATTTTATTACAAAAAATATTTTTAAGACGGCACCCCCTCCCAAAAGGAGTATTTCTGGGAGGCAAAGGGGGGGACTTCCAGTGACAAAGGTCAGGGTTGAGGGGCAGGACTTCTAATCCCAAGATGGTGACCAGGGCAGGGCACCTGTCAAGGCGTGACAGCCCTCGAAAGCTCACCAAACCTCCTTCAGCAGCCCTCCACCCAAAATAATTGCCTGCCCTTGCCCTAAAATTTAAGATCTTCCAGTGTTATGAGAGCTCTACAATAGCAGCTGTCAGGCAGTCCGTGTGATTTGGCCGAGCAGAACCAAAGATTCAGTTCCATAGGCAAATCAGGGGGAAAATGTTGAGATCTTGACTTGTACAGTTAGGAAATATAGTGTTCTCCCAAAACTGGCAACTTCCCTGTTTCCTCCTTTTCCTTTCTGTCTTTTGTCACGCTTGGCAAAAAGTGTATCAGTCAACGGAGAACCATTAAGCTTAAAAAAACAAACAAAAAAACCCAACAAAACCGTGTCTTCTGATAAATGACACCAAACATGACTTAGCCTTCTCCTTCACTGAGGAATGTTGAGTACAATTTTTCCTGGTTTGTTAGTACAGAATACAGTGTACTTGGTCTCAAACTGTAAATCAATATCTGCATCTGAAAGGTGACATTTCAACAACTATGGCATGCTGGAGCCTGTCAGTATCATTTTTTTTAGTGTCAGGTTATAAACTTCTTAAATAAATGATGAGCACACCTCTGAAAGCACAGGGTATGTATATATACACAGAGACATTATGTACACACACACACACACACACACACACACACACACACACACACACACACATAGATGTACTCAATGTAGACAATGACAACTAGGAAAATGGACTATTAAGACTCTTCTAAACGATTGTCATAATGCTAAGATTGGTTTGAATTAGGCCTTGGCACACTGTAGCTTTATATTATTAGCCTTGAAAACAGTCTCACACAGCTTCAGAGAAATGAACAGATGAGCAATGAAACTCTGAAGAACCACCCAATTCTGCTGGCGTTGGAGGGGTGAGTGGGGCTTTTATGTGGGAGAAAGACAACAAACCTACACAGGACAAATGGAAAAGAAAGGGGTGAAAGGAGATAGGGAGGGAACATGCAGGTGAAAGAGCTCATGGTAGAAGGGAAGGACTTAAGAGGAGATAACTGGGAGAGGAGAAACAAGGTTCAGCAAAAGGAGCTCAAATGAGAAGGGTTTGGATTCTTTTAGCCTCTTTTCCTCTAGTTTTCTGTCCCCATCTATTTTCCTTCTCATCCCCTCTTCATGCTGCCCCATGTTCCCCTTCCAATGGAGCTATGCTTGTCCTTTTCTGGCATTTATGGGCTGAGCAATAGGCTAACTTATAATCAGTGAATCATAGAAAATGAGGGTTGGCAGGAACCTCAGGAGGTCACAGCTAGTCCAACCCCTGCTCAAAACAGGACCATCCCCAACTAGATCATCCCAGCAAAGATTTGTCTAGCTGGGTCTTACAAACCTCCAAAGACAGAGCTTCCACCACCTTTGGGTAACCTGTTCCAGTTCTTTATTACCCTTCTCATGAGAGTGTTTTTCCTAATATCTAATTAAAATTTCCCTTGTAGGAAACAGCAACTGCATCTACATGAGACACTTACTGCTTAGTAGCTTGTTACTACTGTGCAGTAGCGCTGCAGGGCACGAACCATGATGTGACGCTACTGTGCAGTAGTAATGAGCTACTGCACAATCAGCATCACCATGAAGCAATGTAGGGGTGCTACTGCATAGTAATGCAGGTTACTGCGCAGTCATTTAGTACTTGGGTATGCAAGTATTAAATGACTGTGCAGTAACAACTTTGCTGTCAGCATCTCATGTAGATGCAGCCAGTATGTTTAAGAAATTAGTCTCACAAAAATGTGTGAGCAGTAATCGAGGGCAATTGGCTATACAAACTAGATCTGATGTTGCCTGCACATTTTATGTACATTGTTTGGCACTTTTTCCCCTCCAATCTCTATTTTAATATATGTACTAATCCATGCACTAGAGAAAATCTGAGAGAGACTCTTCAGCAGATATAAAGCAATCTATATTTTTAAGTCCTTTAAAAACATTAGCTGATTAATCCTCAGAGCACCTCTGTGTGGTACAGTAGGCAAGTCTAGATTTAATGGGTAGATAATAGAGATTTGCAAAGCAAGATGCAAATTGCAAATTAAAAAATAAGAAATATTAAGAAGGTGAAATAAATGGAGAGGCAGTAGTTTAGTTTCCACTGCCTCTTAATAGTTCTGGAGACTAAGGGGTTGATAGTTTATTAATCTATCATAACAGGCTCTTAGTGAAAGAAACAAAGAAAAAACCTGGTTTATGACTTTGACCTCTTGGATGTTGTAGCAGCATTTTAATTTGATCATGTATAATAATTTACAAATTCACCAGTTCCTAGAAATAGAGACATCTTGGTAAAGGCAGTTGATTTTCAGTGCTACCTATGTGTTCAATGCAGTTAAAGAACCTTTATTTGAGCAAACCACAAAGAAGCTGGCAAGGTGATTGCATACAATGGAACGGCTGAAGTTATCAATAGGGTAATTTACAATAATTGTACTTGCAAATTGTACATCATTACCTCAACAATAAGTGTAAAATCCTGAGCAGATATTTGATGATCCAGGCTTGAGTAATTACATGTAATTAATTTGTATCTAATTCCAGATTCTGGCACGCTCCATTCTAGCCTTTCTCAGCAGTACTGGCTGGCAATGAAGAAATAAGATGTTGCCCAGGCTATCTCTGCTGGGAAAGCTTTGTGGTGAATGAGAAGCATTCATATTTGGCAAAAGCAATCATAGGGTATGATTATGCTGTTATTTAGGTTCAGTTCTGAGGGCCACCATTAAAAAGCCCAAGCCCTATAAGCTGCCTTTCCCTATCTATCTGTTACAGTGTTGCAGTTGCCTATCAAATACAGAAGGAGAAACAAGTACCAGGCAAACTGATTCCTAGATGGGGTCCGCCTACTATACGTCTCTCCTGTCCTTGGCTCTGATTAGGGACAGTAGAGGTAGGTAGTAGGGGCATAAAGGCCCAAAGTCAGATACTGGTGCAGTCTGCAGGAAAACCTAAAGCTGGACTGTGGTGTGCCTCATGCATCCATGCAAAGAAGTACATTGCTGCCACAATCCTTGGCAGCCATCCATCTTAGGAGACCAGGGCTGCACCTTTGGTGGGATACCGGGTGCCACCACAGCTTTTTGAGTGGCTGAGTCCAATGTGCGAGAGGTAGACCCTCCGACAAGATGCACGTACAAACTCAGTTGAGTTTGCACTGGCATGCCCAATACCATTTTGTCTTGCCTGCCTCAGATGCCTCTTCTCTAGCTCTTCGTTGACCCTTTCCATCTTGAAGTGATGTAAGCCCTGCTTCATGGCAGCTTTCTACTCACAGCAGTGCGAAGTGATTGATTCCCAGCATTGGCCATCAATGCACAACTCACAAAGGTTTTTCTTGCAGGCATCAACGAAACGGAGTTTGGGCCACAATACAATAGGGGAAATGGTATCATTGGTTACAAATCACTGAAAAGAGCATGTTCTGTGAGCTGATAGTCTCATGCACATGGGTCGGGAGTGGTCAGAGTTTCGACTGACTTGGATTCCCATCCACAGATCTGGGTTGACAGAGAAGTGCCAGGTACAGGACTGATGGATACAACTTACTCTCTCACCCTGCTGCAAAAGGGAACCCAGGGGCCTGCTTCTCTTTCCAAGTAACAGTTCAGACCCTGGTTTGCAGTGTCCCTCACTCAGGACTAAAAGCAAGTCCAACTAAGAAACCTTCATATTTGAAAAGGAAAAGGGGTGGGAAGGAAGAGAGGGGAAGTGTGTTTAGGTCCAGACTAGAGGATTTAAGAAATTAAAAATACAAATGGCTCAGAATGAAGCAGCCTGATTTTATAAGCATAGTTTTTAGACAAATCAGTGTTATTTAATATGTCCTGCCGAGAACTTCCACATTAAAGCTGACTCTTTGTATTGATTGTTTTATTCAGTTCTTTTTTAAGTGTTCCTTTTACACTATTCATGGAAGGGTGGGAGGTGCATGGCATTAAGGAAATTAGAAATAGGATAATGAATTCTTTCCACACAATATTAGTGGTCTAAAGTTCTTAAGCAAATCCCGGGATGTCATTCTCCCCTTGTACTCGGCCTTGGTGAGGCCGCAGCTGGAGTACTGCATCCAGTTTTTGGGCTCCACAATTCAGAAAGGATGTGGAGAAGCCTGAGAGAGTGCACAGAAGAGCCACACGCATGATCAGAGGTCAGGAAAACAGACCTTACGACGACAGGCTGAGAGCCATGGGGCTCTTTAGCCTGGAAAAGTGCAGGCTCAGGGGTGATCTGGTGGCCACCTATAAGTTTATCAGGGGTGACCACCAGGATCTGGGGGAACATTTGTTCACCAGAGCGCCCCAAGGGATGACGAGGTTGAACGGTCATAAACTACTGCGAGACCGTTTCAGGCTGGACATAAGGAAGAATTTCTTTACTGTCTGAGCCCCCAAGGTCTGGAACAGCCTGCCATCGGAGGTGGTTCAGGCACCTACATTGAACACCTTCAAGAGTAAATTGGATGCTTATCTTGCTGGGATCCTATGACCCCAGCTGACTTCCTGCCCTTTGGGTGGGGGGGCTGGACTCGATGATCATCCAAGGTCCCTTCCAGCCCTAATGGCTATGAAATCTATGAAAATGCAGCTGATTGACAAAAGTGACCAACATCATCTCCTACTTACGTTTTGAATCCACGTGTTTTTATACAATAGACACCAGACATAAGAAGGAGTTAAATATCTTCCTTTGAATGATATGGTTTTTGTCTGCAAGTAGACTGGTTCTGATTGTGCGTGGAAAAACAGATGCATCATCGTGCCAAGTGGATGAACAGGCTACAAGGACATGCTTAGCCCATCAGAAACACTTATTGGGGCAAGGGGTCACCAAACGTCTCTATAAATATCTATCTTGAATGAAAAGGGTTGCCTAAAAGTCATAGTGCAGAACTGCTGGCTTTTCTATATTGTCATTCTTTATCTTGGTTATTTTTTGTGATTTATCTAATGCTATAGGAGTTTTTCATGCCATACAGGGAAATGAAAAGACATGGTCCTTTGCCCCAAGTTGGTTATAGTCTATATTAAAGAAGAAAGACCAGCTATGATAAAAGGAGAGGATCAGACAAGTGTGTGTCACAGCAGAGAGGGCAAGCCTACAGTGACCAGAGAAATGGTTTTAGATACCTCCAAATCAAAATGGAGCAGTGCTGGTGAAATAGCAAAGACTGCCTTGGTGTGAGCCTTCTGCAAATGAGTCCTAGTCTTTCAATATAAGAAGCAATCAGTCTATTGCATGCTGTAACATGTACCAGACCCAAATTCCCACTCAAGCTGTGTCATTTGTCATTATTGTTATAAATGGCCCTGCATTGCATTCTCTCTTGAACAGGTGCACACATATATATATATATAAAATATGCATACCACAGACGTTAAACAAGTATATTCTCCAAACTCAGCTTTGGTGGTATCACTACAAAGCAATACCTTCTATTTGAAATGGCTTGGGAATAAACCCTGTTACATATCCCACGTTGCAAGTGAAAAAGTCGGCCCTGTTATGCACACAGGCTCAGTATAAGTAGGTCAGTGTTGAAACTAAGGGGAAAGGGTCAAATCCTGAAAACGTTGAAGGTCAAATCCTTACAAATACACAGATACCTTTGCAGGCCCTGAAAGAGAGAATCTCAAATCCAAAATCAATTTGAGCTGTTCATACAGATTTGATCTCTAAAACGCCACAACAAGATTTGGCCTTCTATGGTAGATCAGAGAAGACGACAGCAGTTTGGAGATGACTTGTCCTAGCTATAAAAAGAGGGAACACTATGTAAGTCCTTTTAAGACTTTTGTAGCCAGCTTTCATGGAGACTGATCATCACAATTTTTAGTTTTGCATATGCATAAGACCCCCCTAGGAAGGGTGACACTTAGAATCTTAGCTGCAATTATTTGTTTTGGAAATTAAGTTATCCGCTACAAAACACAGGCACCCTGAGGACTGCAAGCTCTAACAGCTACTTAGGTTTCACTAAACCAAAGGAATAAGTGATTGAAGTGAAACTGAGATAGAAGATTGACTCACATCCCTTCTCAACCGATGGCAATAAACAAGATCTTGCAAGCATAATATTATCACCGGGTTTGAGAGGCAATTATTTTCCTTGCCTATGTAAGCGGATGAGGGCTGGCCAGAAAACATTTCTACTTCATGAAAATTTTCATGTTGTTGTTATTGCAGTGCACGACAAAACTAAGAACCTGCAAAAAGCTTTTTTTTTCTGAAGGATGAGAGTGAGAGAGACCGATCTATCCAGCATAGCCAGTAGCCTGGAAGATGGGGCACTGATCTGGAATATGGGAGCTAAAAGTCTCTGCTTTGCTTGAGAAACTTTCCCATTGAAATCACTGTTTCCCAAAATATTGTAGTTCTGGCAAAATAGTATTTTTTGTTGAGATGTTTTAACCAACTGATCAGTACCTATGATCCACTCCTCAATATTTCCCCTTCCAGCCTCCTCCAGGCTAGGGACAGAAGTTATACATAAACCAGTTTAAGTAATCAAAAACTGGTTTAAACCTGTAACAGAACAGAAGCTCAGGGCACGTAAAACAGTTTGAAATGACTAAAACTGGTTTAAGATAAACCTGGCTGAATGTAGTATTGGACTTAACTGATCTGGGTCAAACTGGTTTATGAAACTTCTGTCCCAGGCCCCTTCCTGGTTCAAGTTAAATCACCGTCCTGCAGCATCCCAACATGCTTTGCAGCCCTGGGCTGGGCTGGGCTGTGCTGTCTGCTACAGAGAGCAGGGCTGGCCCCACAACCTCTGCTCCCTAGCTGGAGCAGTGAGGGCTGGCTGACAAAGGGGTGGGGGGAGCAAACCCAGCTGGGGATGCAGCCCAATCTATGAGGAGGGGACTGGCCCCCTACCAGGCAAACCCTGGGGGTGGGGTTAAATACCTCTTCCCCCATGCACATTTACTGCTGGCTGCAACTGTGGACTACAAATCCCAGAAGTACCTGGAAGCAGGAAAAAGAAGTGATGAGAGACTCTGCAGAGTCCTGCTGTAGTAATTTTGGACTGTAGATCCCCAGAGACCTTGGTGGCATCAGGAAGAGGAAGCAAACCCACAACCCATGCTGGCTATATGCCACAGAGCCATGCTCTAGCACCCTCTGGCTTCCGGCTTGAGCCACTGCAAGCATGAGGCTGCATTTCCTGAAATAAAGGCAAATTTCTGTTCACTTCTGTTTCAGTTTAATCTCTGCAGCTTAGACTAAGCTGCAAAGACTTAATCAATTTAGCCTCAGGCTTTTTTGGCTATCTGTACTTAGCCTCAGTGTCTTCACAATTGAACTGGAGCACCCATGTCAAAAAGCAATTACCATGGGGTAGAAAAAATTCAATGTTGCACAGAAGTAATAAAGACATGTTGTTTGTATGCTAACTACATATGTACAATGCTGTCTACTGGCTGCAAAAGGAGGGCAACTCCAACCTGGCTGTTTGGGCTAAATGCACACAGTCAAAAAGCCCAAGGCTGAATTGATTCAGTCTTTGCAGGTTAGTCTAAGCTGCAGAGATTCAACTGCAAAACAACTAGACACACATTTACTTTTGATTCAGAAAATGTAACCGTATGCCTGCAGTGGCTCAAGCCAGAAGCCAGAGGGTACTAGAGCACAGCTCTCTGACACAGCCAGCATGAGCTGTGTGTTTGCTTCCTCTTCCTGCTGCCCGTGAGGTCTCTGGGATTTGCAGTCCAGACTCACAGAAGCAGGACTCTGCAGGGTTGCTTATCACTTCTTCCTGCTTCCAGGTGCCTCTGGGATTTGTAGTCTACAGTCACAGCCAGCAGTATGTTTGAGGGGAGGAAGGGGTGTTTAAACTGCTTCCCTGGCCCCAGACCTCAGCTGGTATTTGCTGGGGAGGTAGGGCGGAGTTTGTTGCCCTCCCCCACAGCCCTCCTCTGCTGGAGCAGGCAGCACAGCCCACCCTGGGACTGCAAAGCATGCTGGGATGCTGCAGGACTGTGATTTAACTTGAACCAGGAAGGGGTCTGGGACAGAAGTTTCATAAATTGGTTTGACCCAAATCAGTAATGTCTGATACTACATTCAACCAGGTTTATCTTATCATAGAAGTCGGGTCGGAAGGGACCTTGTAGATCTTCAAGTCCAACCCCCT